CCAAATCCATTGCTGATAGATTTCAGAATGAAAGAGAATGACCAGTAAGATTCCAGTTATGTGCAACTCTATTACGCCTCTATGGAAACAAACAAACAAACAAACCAGGCATAGACACTAGTCCATGGACTTTCATTTTCAGTGAAAATCAACATAATCTTTCTAGGGAAACTTATATGAATAATCTTCTCATCTAAATCTATTATTCCCCACAATACTGATTCCACATTTGGCATACACCAGCACATCTAGCACTGACTGAAGACATCCTATCTAACACCTGAAAAGAATAAGGAGCTTGATTTTGGGTAAAGTTAAATTCCTTAGAGGATTGCTTCAAATATAATAAAGCACCATAAGCTGATATATTAATATAGTACACTGTAATTTTTTCCTCATTGCCTTCTGCTGGTAATTATGAAAAAAAATCAAAGGCAGTGTATGTGACCTCAATTCTGCAAATGCTTAATCACAACAAGTATATGACCCGTTTCTCAATATATCCACATAAAAATGTATTTTAAAAAAGAGCATATAAAAATCTCAATAGAAATTTTTATTTTTATCTACACATTTTATATATGTATATATATAAGTCATTCAGCAACAAAAGGAAAACAGGCAACTAGAAGCACTGGCTTTTGTTTCATAGAAATTTAATTTTCCTTTTAAAGCTTTTCTTTTTTTAATTGACAATAACTTCTAATAACTTATGTATTTTATAAACACATGATCTATATTTACATGCATGTGTATAAGCAGCAAATGGTTTATATGTTATTAATTTGCCAAATATTCCGTTGCTTTCTTACACTGACACATTAAGTAGGTCTGTCTTAAGGTGCTTTAAATATTTTGTACATACTCTGATATTATCTCCTTATTGAGAGTAAATCCTAGTATTCAAGCCCAAAAACATCTTGCATATGTAACATAAAGTTCCAGTTTCAGTTCAGCTAAAAAAGCTATAAAAGCTAAAATATGTTACCTGTCCTTATAGGCACAGTAGGCCACAGTGTAGCATATGGTCTGTTACAGCTACTGAGGTTTTAATTACTACTTCCATGGGCAGAGAGAACAGTTCAAAGCCACTTCCAACCGAGCATCTGCTGCCTCCTACATCCAGGACATAAGAAGTGCAGTATGCATGGTCCAACCAGACCAAGTGGTGTATAAACATCAATCTAAGCCCTAACTGTGCTGCAAGCATTGCTGTCCCATAGGTATAGCAATTCTTGTGTTGCTTAGTGATAGAAGTACCTCCTCACATAGAAAACTAGTTAGCATCTTTCAGGAAATACAAAGGGATCGAAAGAAAGATTGTGTGAATCTTAAACCAAAAAAACAGGTGCCCTACTCCACAAATAAGTCAAACTGTTAGGACAATCTTGGTATTAAGTGAACACGAAGCCACAGTGACAAGTACCAAGGTTTTTAGCAGACATACCCTAGCAAAAGAAACAACTTTTCCCTTAAGCCTCTGTACTTGTTTTGGCTGGGGTAAGTTAGTTTTCTTCACAGTGGTTGGTATGGGTTTGTGTTTTGGATTTGGGCTGAACACAGGGTTGATAATACAGAGAAGGTTTTGTTATTGCTGAGCAGCACTTGCACAGAGCCTTTTTTGCTTTTCATACTGCCAGGCTGGTGAGGTGATGGGGGGGGGGGGGGGGGGGGGGGGGGAGGCTGGGAGATGGCACAGCTGGGACAAGTGATCCCATCTGACCAAAGGGATATTCCAGACTATATGGCATCATGCTCAACATATAAAGCTGGTGGAAGAAGGAAAAGAGGGATGTGCCTTCCCAAGTCACCGTTACGTGTGAGTGGGCCCTGCTCTCCTGGAGAGGCTGAACACCTGCCGCCCATGGGAAGCAGTGAATTAATTCCCATTTCGCTTTACTTGCACATGCAGCTTTTGCTTTTATTACTAAACTGTCTTCATCAAAACCCAGGAGTTTTCTGGCTTTCACCCTTCTGATTCCCTGATCTTGCTGGCAGGGGAGTGAACAAGCAGCTGTGTGGGGCTTGGTTCTGGCTGGGGTTAAACCATGACAGTCTCTTATTCAACTTCTTAAAACACAGACCTTTCTCTTTTTCTTTCCTCTTTACTTCCATCTGTCATATGTCCCTTCACTGCAAAAGCAGCAGCTCTCAGGGCCAGGACTTTGGAAGGTTTGCAAAATGGGATAAAAGGAACAAGCCTGGTAACCAAGGCAGTATGGAAGCTCCTAAAATGCAGGTTTTATAGCAGAAAGGTGAGGAATGGCTGCATTAAGAAAGGAACGAGTTCTGGTTTTGGGTTTTTTTTAACATGAGTGTAACAATTTGGGAAAGGAAAAACTGTGGGTGAGGTACAGAATATTCAGCTCATTGCTCCTACTAGGACACTGACCTGGAGATGCAGAGAGAGTGTAGGGAGATGTGCATGTTTTTGGGGCAGCAAACGGGAGTTAGCCACCACTGCAGAAATAAAGAAGAGAGTTCTAAAACTGAAACACTTGAGTAAGTCTTCATGCAGGTTTCAACGGATAACAAAGGAATCCTTTTTCTTCAAACAGCATAGGCAAAGCCATCTCTCTTCATTAACTGACTGAATGGTGTTAAAAAGACACAAAAAAAAGGACTAGGCTTTGTAATACCGCTTTGTATTACTGGTACATGCAAACAAATTCGGTTCTGTAGAGATGTAGTGGCACATCATCACAGTAAATTATATCTTTTACTGCTTTGAGGCAGAAACAAATATATAATTTATGTACATTCATGTACATAGATATAAAAAATACAAACACCAAGAGAAAAGCACAAAACACTATCCCTTTTAAACTACTCAGTTTTTAATTATATTTCAAAACAAGCAGGGAAGTTGTACAAAATAATGCAGCATAAGCAATTTTTTATCTAATGTAGCAGTTGAGAAAAAATTCCTTAGTCTTAAAATAATGTCTCCCCTTTTTGAAGTCAGGTTGTTTTTTATTTCAAAAAAAACCCTAATAAAATAGTAATTTATTGGTAGAATGGGGTTATGAGGTAATGAAAGTAAAATGTTGAAGAAAAATAAATTTATGTTTGTCCTGAGCGCCTCCTTAATATGAAAGCTTTCTAAACGAAAGAGGAGATGTGGTGTGTGTTCTTACTTAAAAAGATTTCTAGCTTTGTATTTTTTCTTAGACTGTGTCTCACAGATTATAGAAATATGGCAACCTAACAACGCCTACCTTTGAAAAATATATATACCTGTTCAAAAGCCTAATATCCATGTCACCAGTTTTCTAAAGCACAACACAGGGGCACACAGAAGGCAGAGTTCATCTTGGTAGCAATATTTGGAAGTACAAAATGGACAAGGACAAAGGACCAAACATTAGAAGCAAACACATTCCTTCTTTTTTAATCAATATTTTGTTAGACTGGTGGGTTTCATTCATTAATCTTTCGGAAAGTGAAAAATGAAACAGATCTACCATAACAGCAAAAATAAAACTGAAAATTAAATTCATTCTTTTGGAATTGCTTACAAAGAGTGCTGGTTCATCACACACAACTTAGTCAAAAGAGTTTGGACTTCAGAGTATTCATTTCTTTGAGGTAATGTATTTATAGGCAAATTTTGAATCCAAAAGACCTGAAAACAAATTTTCTAAATTCTTTCTCTTATACCATGCACATTTTTAAAATCATGAAAGTTCCAGCAAAAAAAGTTTTAAAAAGTATTGTGTTTTGTGTTTAATAGCTTCGAACAAATCTAAAACTGAACTTCATGTGACTGCTCTGTTGCATCTAAATGTTCACTATATTATAGCTGAGCCAGGACACTCAAAAAAAGCTCCAAAAATAAAATGCCTGGAGCTTTGCAATGAATTGGTTTTAATTTCTTCAGCAACTGCTGCATAGTGATTGATCTAGTATCGTACAACACAGGAAATTAGCAATTAAAGGCTTCCATGCATCCAGCATGAGATCCTACAAATCCTGTTATCCACAGGAGCAAAATTAAAAGACCAAGAGGAATCAACAAAGCTAAAAAGTGCATATTGTAAGCTGTGCAGAATTTGTCCTTTGGTGAAAAACATGAAAACTCTGCACAGACTGCACACATGGGAGCATTTAATGTAGGATTATAACTCAATTAAGACAACTGTTCCTCTGATCCTGTAATTCTAAGGCATTTTGCAGATGGCTCTGAATTCCAGGCTGTAATACAAATTTCTTTCTGTTTTCTATAACATAAACTCACATATTATGTAAAGACACATTTAATCTTTTGTTTAGGAAAATCTTCACAATGTAGGTCAAAAGATACACTACTGTTCTAGATGAATCTAAAATAAGGTAAATCAAATTAACACACACAACATTAAATGGGAACATCATCCATATATGCAAATATGGCATTAACAATAAAGCTTAACTGATACCCTAGTTTCCTTAAGGAGTTATTGAGCACATCCCACAGCACAGGGAAAGAAGATTCCCAGCCCAGCAGGAGTCATGTCAATCCCAGAACTGGAGGCAGCATCACACACAAGGCTGCGCAAACAAATTGCATGAGATTGCAACTTCAGACTCCAAGTTGGCCTGGAGATTGGTGTGTTACAGGAATAAACATGCCCTTTCTCTGTTCCAATGTGAATGAAAGTGCAACTACACTATCATTAATCATATGAGACTGGTTTGCTTCAGATTTGTCAAAACTAATTCAGCTTTGCTGAATATAGCGACAGATACCAGATTTATCTAGACCGAGAGAAGAGAAAAAGGTTATATAAACTTTGCTAACACAGTCAGACAAATTATATTGTTTATCCATGCCTAAACAAAAGGCCACTATTAGCTCAGGGTTAACTAAAATTTCTTAGCTAATCTCTGACCTAATTTTGACCTCTCCTATTAATCACAGAAAAGCTTTCAGTTAATGTATTGATTAGTTGTGTTTACATCCCCCAATTCTGTAGTTTCTTGCCTTGCATCTCATAAATTAAAGACAAAACATCTTTTTCTAAGTTTAATTAGTAGCCAATTAGTTCCATGTTGTTACCTAGCGTGGGACCGACAGTAAAGACAAACATTAACCATTTTAATTCGTTGCATGAAGGAGGCATTTATGTATAACAAGAAAGAATCATGAGACCCTTTATTTCACTCTATTTTTTCCACCAGATCATAGAATATTATTTCAGAAAATTTGTGAAAATACCCAATTCTTGTGCTTCCAGCAATTCCCATTAGAAAGACGTACAGTTATCTATCACCGTTAGAAGTGAAAACCTAAAGAACACATGAAATCTAATAGATCTGTAATCCTGTTAGTAGGCTGTAACCAGACATAATCATTTGTCATTGCATCATACTTCTTACAGAGCCATTTACATTGGACTTGTTTAATTCCTTTAGTAGCATAACCACTGCATGTCAAGATATGGGTATGATGTATTCATATCTACACGATCTCCCCATTTGCAGAAGACTAGTTTTTACTCAAGTAAGAGTGAAGCACCTGAGTTAAAATTCCAAAAATCATTTTTCTACATTGCCTTTTTTTTTTTTTTTTTATATATAGGAGCTGTTCAGTTTCTGGTAAAAACGTATGCAGGCTTAATTTAAAAATTAACTCTGAGAGAAACAAAACCCGACTGCATTGTAAAATATATGTAAATTTACAACAAGGAGTTCTAACAATATAAGAAATAAAAATCTCAAAGTTAAAAAGAACTATCCAAATACCATGCCTTATGTTCATCTGAACCAAGTAATATAAGGAATTACAGTTTGAAAGCCTACTGTAATTAGATACTGAAGCTAAAAAGCTCAGCAGAAATTCAATATAATTCTAAATGCTGAAGCCTTACTGTCCCATCACATTCATATTCATATTTCTTGTCTTTTTGTACTGATAAAAGCCTCCCGAAAATAAATTTATCCAGTCATATTGAGGATCATATTTGACACTCAAGTGATAGCATAACTCTAAATTATGTTCAGAGTTTTCTTTCTCTTCTTTCCAGGAAATGAGAATGATCTTCCATCATCTGAAAAAAGGCACCTGGCCTACTGCAAAAATGAAAAAGCTTGTCCATTACTGTTTGTCATGTTGGTAGATAAACTCTTTCCTATGAAGGCCTAAAAGTTGTTTTATTATAGTACAGTCAACCATTTGGATCAAATTCAGAGTCCTATTCATTTGTGAATAAATTTGCAAATAATTGCAAATAAATTCCACTGCACAGTCAGTACCGTTTTCTTATATTTTAACATTATTCACCAAAAGCTCCATTCTTCTGAGTTTGCGTTTATTCTTCGGCATTGGCTTGTCATATAAGCCATTTTTGAGAAGATGTTCCTTGCTGTGATGGATCTGGGCACCATGCTGAAGCTGGAAAGAGCATAAAGCTTGAAGTGGATGGAGTATAGTCTGCAAAAAGATGAAGGGGTGGGGGACAAAAAACCCAGCCTTTTAGTAAGATATTTTAAAGACATCAATTATTCCATCAATTTTTATTCAATGACTACTTAAAAATACTGATAAAATATAATGTGGATGATAAATGCTGATAAAATATAACCTTTGGAGACACAGAAGGCACAGCTGAAAAACAGATGTACTGAAAAGAACCACACAGCAGTCGTATATTCACCTACATGCTGCCATCCTTCACTCCTTCCTCAAATCCACTCAAACCTGACTTCAGCCCCAGCTACATTACTGTAAGTTATGGCTTTGACTTGACCTTAGTAATGGACTACAATCAATTACTGTGGTTCGGTCAACAAGCTGTAATAAAATAAGTCACAATAACTAAGCTGTTTGTGTTTGCACAAAAGTCCCTTGAGGCAGGGTTTTAGAAAGAGAGGAGGGACTCATGGTCGAGGCCGGGGGACTGCTATCCTGTACTCTATCCATGCTTCCAGTAATATTTATACCTAATGATGCCACACAAACCAAATTTATCTCAAGAGGTTCCTAACTGTAGATTCTTCATTTTCTGGTTGCCTGACTCAGTATCACACAACCTCATGTGCAGATGTGTACAGCAATCACAAATGTAACTGCAGTCAGCAGGAGCTGAGATTCTACGGAGAAAAACATGACTCTTATGAGCACAGAGGAAAATCAAGTGACTTATACTAGGCATCAAACTAAGTGCCCGTTTTTAACTTCCATAGCTTTCAAGTTCAATTCACCATCTTATATGCTGGGAATAGCACTCAATTCAGAGAGCTTTCATGAATGTAGCTCTTGGTTACTGCAACACTTTGAGAAACAGGTAATTTTGTCTTTGAAAAGTAGGCAGAGTTAGTTCTGAGTGATAAGGATGAAGGAATACAGGTACCAGAATACTAGACAGGTAACTGTGGACATGAACTAAACCCTCAATAAGACAGAAGTCCTAACGAAGGAAAAATATGTTGTTGTAGCACAACAAAGAAAAAAATAAATATAACCCCCCACGTACATACACAAGTTTCTGGAAAAGCCTCTTTACACAGAGTTCCAGTTTCTGAGCCATACTTTCTTGTGTGTCTACAGACTTTATCCAAGTCTAGTTTTAAATGCAATTGATTTAATGCTAAGGAGACTCTCTACTGTCACAGAGGCAGATATGGAGGTGGCACACTACACTATGCAAGTGACAGGAGTAATTTCTGATCTGAGAACCTTTTTATAGTAGACAGAGGTTGAGTATCAAAATATTAATTAGCTGATGCAAAGGTGTATGAGCAATGCAGGGTGAACAGTAGCAAGTAGTGGGTACATGGATGAGCTTTATATCATTTTCACAGATCCTTCTGTACTACATCCTGAGCACACGATCAGATTGCAGACCAGGGGCTATGGTGCAAAACTACTCACAGGTATTCTTCAGAAGGCTTTTTAAAATTATATTACTAATGTCAGCAACAAAAGATCAAGAAGGACATTATCTTAATGACCTCTTCCATCACAGACTAGTGGGATCACAACTTACAAGGAAAGGCTAATGTTGATTTAGTATTCTTTAACCTGGGATAAACTTAAACTCAAGAACTATTAAGTCCCAAATTCCTCCAATGACATATAAGAGTTGTGAGTTGACTGCTAGGAAGACATAAGCCAGTGGGTTGCATTCGATGCCTGCAGGAGTACTGGAGGTCAGTGGCCCTGTCTTATAACAGCATTTAATCTTCAAGATAGCTGTGAGTGGGTATTCAGATCATCTCTGCTGTCTAGTTTTTGCAGAGAAAAACTTACTATTTTCCATGCAGTACTATACTCAATCTCCTGTCACAACCTGTTATCAGGTTTTTGAGAGTCAAAGATCACCTTGCTGTGTTTCAACTTCAAAGGATAATTAAAAATTACCAATCTATTAAAAATGATAATGGTTATTTGACTTCAGTAAATATTCTGAGATCAACACATGCTAAAAAGGAAATTAATCCTATCTGACTGCTAACTAAATGAAATTTTTTAGTCTAGCACCAGCTACTCTAAACATCTGTCAGCTCAGTAATATTGAATTCAGATCTTAAGTGAAGTTAACCTTAAATTTAAGGGAGTTAAACAATTTAATATCCTATGTAAGGGAGACAGAAACTTTACTAATCTTCACATTTTCTCAAGTTTCTCCTATCTTGAAAATGCTCAATGTTTAACAAGTTGTATCCAAAGGTATTTTACGAATTCCCAACAGCCTCATCTGGCAGTACCTGAAGTAATACTGTTCCTCACTAATAGAATATGAAGAAATTGGGGGATATATGTGAATTTTTCTATGACAGTTTTGTTCTCAACTGAAGTAAATAAACATTGTAAGGTGTGTACACATACATATCATATCCCAACATTTATTGTAGGATGTGTAAATTAAAATTATAAACTCTCCTGACTTTAAGTGGCTTCACATTTTAGCTACCTCTAGGAAAAACCACAAGAAAGTCAAAGTCACTGCTTGCCATATTGTTCAGTATCAAAGAAACACAAATCAACTAAATAATCATCATGTTTTTCTGGCTTCATGAAAATTAAGACATCAGAGTGATTTTAGACTATAACCTCTGACAAGCTTGCTAATATATTCCTTTGCTACAAATACTAATCGTACTTTAGAGTGAGCATAACTTGGGTAACATTAAGAGTTCAACACATACATTCCACACATTAGTACAAGTGAACAGTTGTTAACAGCTACTTAACAGAGTACACAAAATAAAGCAATTTTCTATACACTACAGTTAAGAAATACCCTAAAGAAAGCTGTGTTTTTTAAAAAATCAGTCTAGCATCTTATATTTGCACAATTTTGTATATTACACATGCCTGGTACACAGTCTGTGATTTGAAGTTTTGTACTAAAAAATGTCAAGTGAACTTAGAAAAACATCACACAAAGACATAACTACAACACTGCATCTCCACACGACTTTCCCTGCAATATACATAGCAGTACTTCTATTTGCTTGGGTCTAAGTCTCCAGCTCCCTTCTCTACAGATTTTTATTTTGTATTGCAGCAAGCACAGTATGTATTTGGCACCTTGAAATCAACTTTTTAAAGAAGTAATATATATGCGATGAGAATCTGAGTCACTCTTCTCATTATATTCAGAGGGACAGGAACTGTGGAAGAGAGTATTACAGGATAAGAAAATGTGAGGGGAAAGAATGACATAGAAGGAAAGAAGGAACTGGAAGACACTACAACACTGTCATTCTCCCAATCCCTGCATTTGCTTTTCCTGACTTGGGTGGCATAGCTGGAGCACTTGCTGCTGATGACTGAGGCATAGTCGTTGAGAACATCAGCCTTCTCTTTGTCCAAGGTAGCCAGGTCTCCCATTTCCCTGTGGAGAGGTCCCACAGTATTCCTAGCCTTTCTTTTCCTTGTAATAGATCTACAGAAGTCCTTCCTGTTATCCTTGATATCACAGGCCAGACTCAATTCTAACTAGGCCTTGGTTTCCCTAAGCTTACCCCTAGCTTCCAGTACAATTTCCCTGTGTTCCTTCCAGGCCACCTGTCCTCATTTCCATTTTCTGAAAGCTTCTTTTTTGGTCTGAGTTTGCTCAGCAGCTCCTTATCCATCCATGGGGGCCTCCTGGCATTTTTGCCTGATTTCCTCCAATGTTGCGATGCATCATTCCTGAGCTTGGAGGAGGTGATCCTTGAAATTCAGCCAGCAGTCTTGGGCCCCTCTGCCCTCCAGGGCTCCATCCCCTGGGACTCTACCAAGTAGTTCCTTGAAGAGGCCACAGGCTGCTCCTCCTGAAGTCCAGGGTAGTGAGTGCCATCTTCACTGCCCTGAGGATCTCAAACTCCACCATCTCATGGTCCCTGCAGCCAAGGCTGCCTCAGAGCACTAAATTCCTCACTCTGTTGGTGAGCACAAGGTCCAGCATGACACCTGTCCCTGTTAGCTCCTCAATCACTTGTGTAAGGAAGTTGTCACTGACACATTTGAGGAACCTCTGGGATTGCTTGTGCCCTGCTGTGCTGTCCCTCCAACAGATATCAGGGTGGTTGAAATCCCCCATGAGAAATCAGGGCTTGTGAGCATGAGGCTACTCCTATCTGCCTAGAGAGGGCTTCATCCACACCATCCTCCTGATCAGGTGGCCTGTAGCAGACCCCAGTATAACATCCCTTGTCCTCCCCTTAAACTTCACCCAGACACTCTCAGCTGGCTGCTCATCCTTCCTCAGGCAGAGTCCTATACTCTCCAGCTGGTCCTTGACAGAGAGGGCTACATCCCCTCCTTCACTGGCAGCATTGGGATAGATAGGTGCCCTCCCCTGAAAAATCTAGTTTAAAGCCACATTCACCAGATTGGCAAGTCTCCAACCAAAGATACATTTTCCCTCCCTTGTCAGACTGATCCCACCACCTCCCCAGGAAATCAGGCTTAGCAAAGCAAGTCCCATGGTCTGAGTAAAAAATCCTGACTACAGTCCCATCACTTTTAACATTTGCTGACCTGTCAGATTCAGCTGGCCATTTCGAGACCCTCTCCTTTGACCTGAAGGACTGATGAAAAAACTACTCGAGCTCCAGAGCCCTTTACTGACTCTGTAATCCCCCAGACTGCTGCAAGCTCTCACTTGGAACACTAATAATCAGTGGGTTTAACTAGGTTTGGCAGCTTCTCAGTGACATTCCTTATCTGGGCTCCCTGAAGGCGACACACCTCTCTTGAGAGCAGGTCAGGCCTTTAAGAGATGAGTGCCTCTGTGCCTCATAAAGCAGAGTCACCCACTACTATCACCCACTGCCTTTTCTTGGTTGAACTAGTTGCTAATTTCTTTATTTGTGGAGCAGGTTGGGCTGTCCCAGTTAGCTCCCTCTGTGTCAGGTGTTGCCTCATTAGCCTGCAGAGCTACAAAGCTAGCAAACATTCAGTCTTTGTACCTAACAAGTTTTCTTAGCAATCTCACAGCTATGTTGGGTAAAGAACAAGAAAACCGTAGAGCCTTTTTGGGCAAACATGAAGGAATCACAGTAGTCTGAACACACTGAAGAAAAATGGTTTCCACTGGTACATTCTTGTTTAGTTTCCTATTCAACAAAACCATTACAATGTCATTAAGATTTTAACTGTCAAATGTGTTACACTAATAGCAAAGTATCATTGCTGCTCCTCTACCATTCACAGAAGAAAAACCCAGGTGTTTGAAGTTACATACCTCTTGTATGCTCTTATTCTTTTCCATGATAGTAAGAGCAACAGCTGCACATTCAAGTGTAGACAGACAGGTGTTCGTTGGCTGTGTACGAATTACATATTGACTTGAATGATTGGTTTTTAACTGCACCTGAAAAATAGTAAACTCTAGTAAAATAAACAGGTCAGGATAGCAAACAGGATACCTATTCTCTACACCAAGCAAAACACACTCCCTTTCCCTTTGTGGTCACTTGCCTTTTTTTTGCTGTTTTGGCTCCCAGTAGACAATGACCTTATGCTACTGTTAAGTGTAATACTGTAACACATCTGAGTCACCATCAGAAACAAAAACTGCACATCTGTTACTGTACAAACATGTAAAGGAAATACAATTGTTTCCTAGAGAAAGATTAAGTTAAATTTTAGCAACCACAGATATGCTATAACAAAAATAAAATTATTCACTCATACTTGTTTTATTGCACACTCTAAACAGATACATAATCCCGTGCAATGTGCAATGGCCATATAGTCACTAACACTATATACCTTGGCTAAATATTATTTGTCAAGTTCTGGATTAAAGATTTCTAGAAACCACACTTATTCATATAATGTACTAGGTCACTGATTAGGGCTATTTGCTCACCTAAATCATGTTTGAAAATTACTTAATAGCTCTGCCTCAAGCAATAAACACTTTACATCTTGCAAGTTAAAGGTTTTTTAAAAAAAAAGAAATTTAATTCAACTACTCCTTGGCCTGTTTTATCAGCTCCAAAAGCTTTTACTAAGTTTATAATCAGTGGTTGAAACAGCACAGAATTTACACTATTAGACTCTATGTGAAAATTCAGATATTATTCCTTCATTTCAAAGATTTCCATCTCCACATACACTTAAAATGTAATTTGAAAAACAAGTAATGTTTTAGCAATATTCCTAACCAAAAATTCTCAGTTCCTTTTCCAAAAAAATTCTAGTACAGAACCATAAAGCTTGATGAATTATTCTAAAAGAGCAAGGGGGTTTTTTTAATCTCATCCAAAAAATTGCATTTTGATTCTTCCTGAAAAAATGAGTGACTGATTCCCATGGCCATCATCATATTGCTCCCATTTTGCTTGCCAGAAGTCTGTCAGCATTCCTCACTTCATTCAACACTTTCCCCCTTCACTTTCTCATTTTTGTTTTTATTTGTAATGTTTCATTTTCCTTCATCTCTTTTACATGCAATTACTCATTCTCTAAAGTTCAAGGTGGCTCATTTACAAAAGGAAAACTCCAAGCTGCTGAAGAAACATGAATGAATAAGATCAAATTCCACTGCTTTACCTGATCTCAATTTAATGCAAATAAAAAATAAGAAAATAAAAAGAAGGCAACAAGAGAGAGAAAATGCACTCTGGAAAGTACAAGTAAGTTAGCTATAAAACCTCAATCTACTAAAATACAAGAAAACCCAGAAAACTGTAGCCTTTATCAACTACCTCCTTTATTTGGTATTGAAAAACAAGATAAGAATAAATGAATTTAAGAGACAAAATGTAGAATTTGGACATCTGTATATCTAATGAAATTAAAAAGAAAATTAAAAATAAAATTAAATTAAGATTTTCATTTGTTATTCCTCAAGGTTTTCTTTGGTTTTATGCTTCTCCTGGTACCATGTATAGATCTTCATCACAACAGAATAGGAACACTAGTTATTTGAAGTATACAGAAATCTATGCTGCTGGAAGCTTATAGTCCCTACTTAGAAACTTACAGACAGGTATCAAAAACCAAGGTGAACTCAGTCCACCATTTCTCCAACATGTAACCTGAGCAGCAAAGCAGACATATACCCACACCTTTTCTCAACAGCCACATTCTTCACAGAGTATCTCTACAGAGGTCGAAACCGTCTAATGGACTACCTGCAGCACAGGGGCTTCCCCCTCCTTGGGCAGTGCTTTAAGGCGCTTTTTTTGTAGAGTTTGGAAGTAGTTGTGTCTGCTGGTTTCTATACTTCATTTCTTGGGTGTCATGCTGAAAAACACTTATGGTAATCAGCACTCCAGAGGAAGAAAAATTATTCATGATTGCAAGACAACTTCTACAGAGAAGAAAAGCTGCCTGCACTATGCCACTCTGTGGAGCTAAAAGGTCTGTAAGTTCAGCTCTTAAACAACAGACAATGTATAGAAGGGCAACTTTCTAGTTCTAATAGCAACAGCAGCAGCAACCAAATTCCTTCTTTCCTGGGAAGAATGTGAAAGGATGGAAACAAGTGATGCCCATCCATTTTTCTGAAATATTACATATTCCCTGGGATAAGATTAAAATACCACAGACAGTGGTGGAGATAGAGGAAGAATAGCCAATCAGGACAACTTTCTGCTACAGTTTGTCTCTTTGGTTTCTTTCAGTATACACTGTACCCTAGTCTTTAATCCAGGGCCCAGTACCTAAATAAGTGATACTTAGTCACCTGAAATACAGTCAGGGTAGCCTTTATCTATCGCAAATTGCACAGGCTCACCAAAGTTTTTATCTGAAACTAGGGACATTCACTGAATCAATAAAACCGACAATGCGCTGCTACAAAGATAAAACAATACAGAAATTGAAACAAATTAGTATAGTTAATACTTATTTCAGACATGGGATGAATATCTTCTTGAAAAAAAATGCCTAGATATAGGAAACATTTACTGTTCTCAAACTTGACTGGGTAGGAGGACGACTTCTGTCATTTTCAGCCAACAGGTCTAAAACTTGTCTTGTCTTTTGTGGAGTTAATAATTTCAGGTAGAGTATTGCAACAGTCTCATGCAAAGGACATATGGATTCTTTGTCAGTCCCTTGCATATCTCAAATCCAGGTGAAAAAGTTTAATACAGATTTAGAGAAATGATCATCTCCAGTTAATTTAAACAAAATCACATTATTTACCCCTGACATTAGACTTTAAAAACTCAGAATGAGCATACATAAAAATCCTATTCAAGAACATTTCAAAACAACAATCATGATATTTTATAAGCACTTCTCCATTAAATAACAAATACCACTACACAACAATTTACTTTTCTTTCTTTTGCTTCAAAGAAATTTGCAAATCATATGTACACTCTGAAATAGTATTAGTTTCTAACAAAATATAGCAATGCCAAGTTGGAAAAACAGCAGCTGATTTAACACCACACACCTAAATAAACAATAACATAAGACAGAAGATGGAAGCTATCTCAACCAATTCAAACTAGAGTGGAATTTAGATAAACTGAATGCAATTACTTGCTGGAATTTAGCCAAGACACTGAAATGAGTGTATCTATTCTCTGTAAGTTCAAGGGAGTTTGGGGACTTAAGTTTCCAAGCCATCAGAAATATGAAGCAAAACATAAAATCAAATTTTATTTCTACTGTAACTCAACACCTGTGGTTTCCAAAAGCCTGAATTTCAGCAATTCTCACAAACTGCTACATTAACTTAATAAACACTGGTTTATCTGCCAGGGCACCACTCAATTAGCAGATCCTATAGACTTTGAGCATTTACAAAGGATTTGAACCACAGTAAAAACAGTGACCCTTCAGTGTTTCTCAGGGCTGAGTTTTTCTTCCCGGGCCTTCTTTGGACATACCCCAGGCAAGTAACGATCCCAGCTGATCCCATTCAGCTGTTCAAAGCTGATGGAAGAAAAAGTGTTGCCTTGATGGGGTCGAAGACCCACTGTTTGAAATTTTAAAAATTTAAGCCAGTAAAAACAGGAAATTGATTTCTGCTTTTATTATAAATAACAGAACTGGAGCTCTCACAGAAAGCTCTACATGTTTTTCTCAGTCCCCTCCTTAATGTCAATATACTTAACTTTCTACCTTTTCTATGCCCATTTTTTCATCATTACTCTTACTAGCTTTACTATCCAAATAGAATCCAGCATTATCCAAAATTATATTTGGAAAACATGCATCACCAACAACTCAAAAAGGCTACAAAGTTAGTACATCTGTCTCACAGGGCACACTAAACAATTCTTGCCTGTCCTGTTGTCTGCAATAACACTACAGGCATCTCAAAACAGGCAGAAGCACAACATATTATTCTGTGGCTTCTACAAAAAACCTAGTACTTAAGATCCCCTCTTTTTTACTTACGTGTCTTTACAAAACCTGAATTTCTATTTGGGAATTAATCTCTAAACTCTCCAAGAATGAAACAAGCAAGCACCATCTGTCCTCCTGCTTAACATAGGCAGTAGTTATTGTTCATATGTTCTATTACTTTAATAAGTATCTCTCAGAATTTTTTTAAACAAAAGGCACAAAAAAACCCCCAGAAAGAGTACAACCATATCCTGCCATCTTCCCTGTCCTTCTAGAAACTAAGAAAAAGTTGCTTTTAAGGTGCTGTGGAGGAAGAGCATTTTCTGTGTTCTACAGCACAAACAACCTCAGACAGATGATGGGTGTCAGGTATGGGAAGATTTTTCACTCAGTATCCAGTTGGCACAAGTACCTTTTACCTGTAAGCTAAAACAAATTTCTCTTTTTGACAAAATTTCATACAGTTAAATAAAATTACCTTTCTGACAGAGAAAACAGCCTGAGTAAATTGAGTCTCAGCATGCTACTGAAATTTAAATCAAGAATATAAATAAATTATTTTGTTCAAAATCTTGGCTTTAATTTAAAGTGACATCTTAAGAGCACTCTGTTTCTAAAATACTGGAGGGAATAACTGCCATGCAAGTGTCACAAATGGACAGCTGGAAAAAGCATACGAAACTGTCACAAAACCCTCTATCCACCTTGCGCGACTTTAATGACTGGAAAAAGAGAAATATAGCCCCCATTATTAAAAAGGGGAACGCAGAAGACCTGGTGATCTACAGACCAGTCAGTCTCACGTCTGTGCCAGGTAAGATCATGGAGCGGATACTCTTGAAAACTGTGTATGACGGTGGTACAGCTCTGGTGGACTGAAGCAGAGCAACTGACATCGCCCATCTAGACTTATCCAAAGCATTTGACACTGTGCTGCTGGAGAGACATGGATTTGATGGATGGGCCACACAGTGGATAAAGAACTGGCTGTATTGATGCACAGAAAGAGTTGTGGTCAACAGCTCTTTGTCCCTGTGGAGACCAGTGATGAGT